CACTCACTGCCACTACTGTGGAAAGATGAAATCAATCCACATTATGAAAGTTCAAATCAAGAATTAAGCTTGCATAAGTTATTTGAAATTTTTGTCGGTGTCTAGCGATAATGACATTTGCTTTGGTTGCATACTAAAATTCAAACACAAAGGAGGGAAGATAAGGAAGAGACAGAGCTGGAGGTGCAAATATGTTTACTAGGATCCTACTTACTCATTGTTTTGCCAGTGCCAACAGCTTCCTCTTTGATATCATAGACATTAGGTCATTATGACTTTAGAACAGACAGAGTGGCAACTAGGCCAAAGTTCATTAATGAAATGAAACACAATGGACAGTGGCTGTGACAATCAAGCACTTTATAAAAATAAAAAGATCAAGTGACAATTCATGATGGCATTAAAATCTGAATTGTTGGTTGGTAACACTGCCCTGGCACCCTCTAAACACACACAGAAGGAACACACCTTCCTCTTTCAATAAGGTTGTGGATATAGGGAAACAAGGTCTCTCATATGGTTAAGTCCTTCAGAAAAACAAATTTATTCCAGGGAATAAAATGCAATTTGCTACCACCAGTCACTTAGAGTTTAAACATGAGATTTGCAACTTGTAGTCTAAAGTTTTTACTCAGTTAAGCCACCCTTTCAAGGCTTACATGTAACAAGCCACTGGCATTGTTGTCATTTTCTTTCAAGGAGATTCTGCATCATGTTGAGAACTGTTCTTATCTACATTAAATGGATTGACAAAATTATGCCTCATTATATAATTAAAAATTAAAATAGATGTACCTTAACCTTACTATTTAAAAATTAAAATTATGCTTTCAAGGGCATCATTTAAGAGTTTTGTAAAGTCCAACCAAACTATTCAAAACTCGATTACTCTCTCCAATCTTCAGACTTTAGAAGTCTTGGATCTTATTTCATGGATTCAGGAATTGTAATTCTAATTTAACTTTTCAAATTTTAACTTTGTAAAAAATTTAGATTAAAATTGAAAATTTTTTAAATTAAGTGTCCAAAAAATAGAGGGATTGCACCCTATTAATGTTTTAGGGTAGAAATTGCAAAATACTGTTAAATGAAAGTAAACACAAGAATTTAACTCAAATCCAGCGAGAACCCTAACTCAAATCCACTGACCATTTAAAAGATCACTGGATCTCCCAAAACTTGACTCCCATCACTCTGAGAACCATGGCTCAAGTCAAATGTACGGATAAATGGAAAGACTTGTTCCACTAACACAAAGTTTTGTTTTTCCAAAAAAATTGGTTACAGTTGTCCATTAAAGTTATGTATCAAAACCAACTTTATAAGTACTGAAGAAATTGAATGTATGGTGAAGATTACTAG